AAAATTTTATATATTTTTTCGCCAGTCCGATTTGGTTTTAAATTGCAATTAAAATTATCAAATATAAACCAAGCCGTTTTTTGTTTGGTTCAAAATCATTTCGTTGACGGTTCCACGTGATTTCTAAAATGTGGTTTCGGTTCGATTTTTCGATTTGACGATTTTTGCTTACAACTCTACTAAGGCGTAGGCATGAATGGGCATTTTTGGAAACTAAAGTGGCCGCCATATACAAAATAATGTGCAGGGCTTTCAAAACGATTCATAGGCATGTTTCTCTCCAACAACTTAATAGAGTGAGGGGCTAAAATTATTCTTTTTCAGAATTGGTCGAAAATTTTCTAAAGCTCAAACTTGTTTCTAACACATGCGACACACTTCTGCCCCCTATATTTTGGGGGAACTTACAAAAATATTATTAATTTTACGAGTCTTTTGAAAAATCATATGAAAAGTTGAGACTTTCTAATTAAAAAATGTAATACAATATTACTTTTTTAATTATTAAAACAAGACAATGTTTTTTATTTTTAAAAAAAAGTGACGTTTGTCAAGTAACATACAATGCCACTTTCTATATCAAGAAAACTTAATTCACATTTAACATAATACAAAACAAATAACATCTAAAAGAAATTTCTTATAAGCAAATTGAAAGCTTAGCCAATGATGTAATGTTAAATTAGAAATTGATTGTGTGATATTTTAGTTAAAAAGTGGCACAATGTGTTTGTCAATTTTTAATGAAAAGGTCAAAAATCATGTAACCTGACTTTTCTTAATAAAATCTTTGCCAAAAAGAACTTAAAATTCCATACCTGCAAAAAGAAAATGAACTAATAACAAATATATGCTTCATAAAAATTAAATGATCGTAGCATTAAAACACGAAAGCAATTAACAAAAGTGAAAGAAATTTAAAAAAGTGACAAACAATGTTTAACGCAAATCAAAACATTAGAACAGATCAAAGGGATTGCTGATTTTTTTTCTACATGTTGTCTCTTTGTGATTATGTTTCACTTCTATTAACTAAATATGGAAAATAACTTCATTTTAGAAACAAAATACCTTATAAGTTGTAAATGACGTAAATTCAAAAAAGTGACGAGAACTAAAAAGTAACAAAGAATCAAAAAATAGTAACAAACGCTGAAAACAACATTAGCATTTGTTGGTTATGCTCTAATGAGCTAAATCATATATCTACTGGAACTATCCCATTTTTCTATTCTGTAGCTCTTTTTTTTGATGTACCAGTTTACGATTTACAGCACCAGGAGTCAAGGACCGTAGTAGTTTCAACTAGCCCCTTGACCCAATTGCAGTCGCAATTTTCCCAACTTCAGCTGCACATTGTAAATATTTTATTTCAATTGTAAAATAGATGTGATACTGGAAGATTTTAGTATAATTTCTCGGTATTTAAACTTCTACTCCTATCACTTAGATTTTTTTGTAGAATGATATTATAGGGGGGGTATTAGTCTTTCAAACAATCTTTCAAGTTTTCTAGTGTTTGCCCCCTGCACTAGCCATTATAATTTCTAGTTTTCATCAATTGTAATTTCTAACTTTCAAGCAATCAATTTTCAATTTACATTCAATGCATTTCAATTTCATGTCACAACCTTTCTATTAATTGTAATCAATTTTTCTTTCGTCTCGAAACGACCGAGAGAAGGCGAAAGGCAGTCTAATGGAGTAGACTATTGTGGCACGATATCCCTTTCTGTGTAAAGAATAAAGGCACCCCGTGAAACCATGTGCATACTTGCATTTTCATTGCTAAAAATATTCACTTGTTTACACCAAATTTATAACCTCTCCAATGGTTACGCCAAACTTTATACAAAATTTGGATTAAAAGTTACACCAAATTTGTAGATGGTTTTTATACTAAATTTTACATCAAATTTTATTTTGAACTATTTTATATCAAATATTATTTTACAAATTATATTATTAAAAAATCGATAAATTAGAAATTATATTTAATGAAATAAAATATTATATTTTTTAATAAAATAAAATTACATTACATTAAACGCACAAGGAAAATTACAGATAACGAGAATGACAGTGCATTTTGTTACTTATTTATCAGAATTAGTATATTAATTTATTTTTGAAATAATTATTACTTATTAATTAATTAATCATCATAGTAAAATAATTATGAATCAATTAACATTTATTAATACTAAAATATTAAAAAAGGACATAAATGGAAGAAACAACTTTTATAGAGGGCAAAAGGTGGCAAAATGGGGTAAAATAAAAATTATTATATTTGGTGTAACACTATTCATTACACTATCTTTTGCACTACATTTATGGTACCATTGTAGGAGCTTTTACACTATAATACTATATTTGATGTTTTACACCAAATATAACCTCTCAATAGAGATGCCCTTGATAATTAGAACATTTAGGTGAATACTCCCGATTGGTTAGTGAAAAATGATTATCATGGATGGTACCTCTTGGGTGATTAAACAATCTTTGTTTCCTAAGATAGATTAGATAGTAGTGAATAATATTAACCTTTTGTGCGCAAATAATTTTGAACTCGAATTGAGATCAAGTTTATGTACTACGAGTAACAAAAGAATAAAAATACATGATTCTTTATAAATTTAGCAGCCAACGAGAAGAGAATTTGTACCACTACCATTAGCATCCATCCATGACATTTTGCAACCACGATCATAGTGAAACAAATCAAAGAAGCAATCGACACGATTAAAAAAAAACAAGTGGAGAAAGGAGTGAGTCAAGTTATCAATTTGAGGAGAATATCTACCAAGTCTACCAACAAGTTTTCACCAAGGCTACGGTTTTTGGATGTTTGACCTATATTTCCTACTGGGCTACTAATCGTTTGATTTCCCACAAGTGGACGAGGTCGTAATTAAGTAATATATTAGTGTGTAAAGTGTCGAACCCACGAGAACTACGTGTTTGATCAAGTTAAAGTTAATAATACCATTATTCGAATAGCAATAACAGTTTATAATAAATCTATATCTAATTTATCATTTACAAGAAATTAAAGTAAGAGTTTATCAAATTTATGAGATGTGTTGCCAAGATCTAGAATCCCCCTTATTCATTCACTTTTAGTTTAACAATTAAATTGACAATTTGTTATCATGCGAGTTGATTGACGTTCCAAATTTATTTAAAAGTCTCTCTCGATAGCAATTAAATCTATTCCCCTCATGCGACCTTCCTATCTCTCGGTAAAAAATATGAACATGATAAATATATTAACGAACTAGAACATCATTATGAAACATGCAAAGCATAGAAGTATATATCTATCCTCTATACCTCACAATATTTATTACTATGTGCTAACGATTCTATCACAATATTTATTATTATGTGCTAACGATTCTATCACCTCTCTTAATGATAATAAAATTCACAAACAATTCAACTAATGGCCAATTAATTGAATAGCAAACTAAACAATAATAAACATTCACTCATTCAAACAAATTAACGCCAAAATAATTAATTAATACTAAAAGTTTCAAAAAAATGGTTCATCTATATCTTTAACAATATAAAAATCTAGCTTATCATGATATTGAAATTA